GAGACGCAAACAACGATCGAGATGGGACGACATAAAATTCAACGCCATTCTCTTTAAGAAAATCAGGCAGAGATCGAAGAAGTCCTACCCCCAATTTCGTAAGTTTTATGCTATTTCTCTTGGATCCTTTTATGGGATTTCGGTTTGAGATTTTTAAGATTTTATTTGATTAGCTTATGTTTTGGGAAAACTTGGTACAAATCCACATCTCTATTCATTGGTTTGTTCATGGGTTTGGTGAATTTGGAACTGAGATTCAGACTTGCACCAAAATTTATTGCATTTAAGAGCTGTTTGTTTCTATGACAATAAGGATACATTACTAATATTTATGGAATATATTATTTACTCACGATACTTACTATTTTGTTTGTGGGACTTGAAGGATGGTTTAAGTCTAGAGTTCTCAAGTTTGTTTAAATCAATTGTTTGGATATGTTCATTTGCTGATATTCATCACTTTGTTGATGCGTGACTTCACATTAAAATAACAGCTATTATGGTACTTATGACTTCATTTCAGTGAATTCGCTTTGAACTAAAGTTCAAGACTCAGCTTCGACTGTAGCTCCTGTAACCTTTAGCAGAGCACTAAATCTATCAGGCTACAATTTTTCATTGTAGGAGCTGTGTGGATATGAGAATATATGCGAGACAATGAAAAAACTGATGCTATTTTGTTTGAATTAGTGGAAATATTTTACATTGATGAGGTCGGAAGGTGTTGTCGCTTGATGAGTGACTAAGAGAGCAAGGGAATCAATTTAAAGCGAAAAGAACCTTCCAGTTGTGATTGCTTTTGTAAACTGAAAGTATTGAGCTCCATCAAAAACACATTAATCAATGATTATGCATATGTAAAACCTTTGTAATGGATTTTTTTTTTTTTTGTTACCGACACATATAATGAACATACACGCATATACACATGATCTTTATGTTGAGCAATTCGTACGAGGTAAGTTACCATTTAGAAGTTATAAAATCAAAATGGTGTCATAAGAAACTATATTCGGTGTCTTCATATTACTAATTAAAATATTAAGATCTGTATTTACTTAATCATATGTACCGGTATTGCTAATTATGCTTGATATTGGTACCAACAACCAGAAGTTACTTGAATACAAACTTTGTGAGTAGAATTTTATAAATATTATGTAAATCTTCTCTCATTTTAATATTTTGAACATACATTTTTTTATGTTCTTTAATACAAGATAATTTTATATTGTTTACAATAAACTACATACGGTATATTAAATAATTATTATTTAATATTATTTATCCACGTCTTAATTTATAATTATTAATAATAGTATTGTTTATTCTCATCTATAATTTATATTTAATATTATTTACCCGTGCATCGCACGGGCTACGTACTAGTTGTTGTGAAATGACGTTTCATCTCTTCATCCTCCGACGATAAGTGGTCTTTTGCCAACAACGTATTCAACACCATCATATTCATTTTCCTAATCTTCCTTTCTTCTTTTTTGCGTTCCAACTCCATCCTATCGTTCGATATTTTGGTCATTAAATCACATTCGTCCTTTCTTGTAAGTCTTAGTGCACGAATTTCTGCAGTGAACTCATTAGGAATGGAAGAAGATTGTGATGCTACCTTTTTCCCTTTCTTGGAACGCATTAGGAATGGAAGAAGATTGTGATGCTACCTTTTCGCCATATCTCTACCTTCGGGACGGGGAATCGCAAAACCATCACTAACTGGAGTTTCTGGATTTGAGGAAACGGAATAATCTCCAACTTCAGTAGTCCTTGATCTTTTGGAACTGCCATGGATTTCTTCATTACTCGCTTCATCTTCAGGGAGTGAACGAGTTGAATCATGATCTAATTTTAATTTCCATTTGGGATGCTTTCGCATGACTTCTTCAAACACATGCAAGTTTGTAAACTTGCTACCACTAGCTTCATAAATTATATGAGCTTCTTTTCAACATCATTCATGCTCATTCCGCTCCTTTTATTTCTCTATGCATCCATGTAAGCACCTCTCCACTTGTTTACATTTTCACTAAGGCATTTATAATGACCTTTCATTGAATCCAAGTTTCTTTCACCAATTTCTTTTGGATTTTCCAATCGAGCTTGCTCAAACATTTGAGCTATGCGTGCCCATAATGAAGAACCCTTATGATTCTTGCCACACATTTTGTCTTCACGAACGAAACACCAAGCTGACATTAGAACAAGATCTTCTGCCACACTCCAACTAACATTTTTCTTTCCTTTTTTAGGATTTGTACGTGTCTGTTGCCCATTTTGAAATAGATTTCGAGAGACGTTTTGTGGGGGTTGGACATTTACAGAAACTGGAAATTGGGTAAGACTAAGAAAATGGCCCTTGTGAATAATTTTCGAAATTCTAAAAATTTTCAGAGTTTGACAAATTTTGAGAATTGAGGTAATACTCAAAATTTGGATCTATGTGGTATTTGTTGGAAATTAGGAACAATAAAAGAGATGACAAAATTAATAAGGTATGAATAATAAAAGGGTGAAAAGAGAGAAATTTCAGTTGTGATCTAAAACATATTGTTTGTCCCATTTTTGTTGCGTTTTTCGTTGTTATTTTGTCCCTCATATTGAGTCATTTAGATGGTTTTAGGATCATTTTGTCATTTATTATGTGTTTTGCGTTCATTTGAGTGTTGCGATGTTTTCCGTTTGTTTTCCGGTCTTTTTCTGTTCTCTTTTCGTTTTTGGTGTGTAGTTTGAAGACCTTGGGAGAACAGGTTTTCGAGAATCTTGTGGGGAAGCTGACACCATTAGATAGAGGGGTTCGTTAGCGACACGTAGGAAAAAACGGAACTCAATTCCGAGTTAAAACGAACCCGAACGAGCAAAAATCGTAAGATGGTGCAGTGCAGATTTTGGTCTCCGCGGCCGCGGGATTTTCTTCGCCGCGGCCGCGGCGAACAAAAACAGCCAGGTCCCAAATTTCAGCAGCAAAAAGTCGCGGCCGCGGGATCAGGTCGCGGCCGCGGAGGTCGCGACAGCAGGGTTTTAAAAGCAGTTTTCAGATTCGTTTTTAGGGAGTTTTTGGCGAGGTTTGAACACCTCTCGACCGGGGTGAAAACCCTAGGTCCCGAGAGAACACAAAATCTCTTTCTCCTCTTTTCTTTCTTCTTCTTCCTCGTTCCTTTTCTTCTCTTAATCATTATTTTCCATTTTTCTTCTTCTTTTTCTTAGTTAGGGATTAAGCTTGTAACTCGAATTCAACATCTAAACTTGGATTGATTGTAAGTATTTCTTTCTCTTGTTTAATTCATGAATAATGGTTGACTTGAGTAGAATGATTATATTTGTTGAATTTGATTTATGTAGCTAATTCCTTCTGCTAGGGATAGGGGATGATTGTTCTTGATTAATTTCGTTATTATTGGGCTTTAATTTGTTCCTGCTTGTGCGAGTTGCTTTAATTAGGGTTAATTAATTCTTACTTGATAACTTGATATAATCGAAGGGTGACACTTCGATCTTGCAATTGGTATCAATTGAATGTTAATTTGTCGAGTTAGGGTTTGTTGGTTCTATATGATTAGTTGATTAAACACCTTCTAGTTGAATTAGCGACTTTTAGAACCGAAAGGGGAGAAGTCGTAGACCTAGGCTCGCATGAGATAGATGATTTCGTAACTGAATAGTCTATAGGTTTTGGATTGAAATACATACTTGCCGATGACCCGTCTCTTGTTACGAAAAGTTATTGAGACTGGGATAATTGACATGTGTTGTATGCTCGAGCTAGCTCGTCTATGTTCAATCCCTTGTTACGAAGAGTTATTGGGAGCGAACCGCTAGATGTCTAAGCGAGAGTGTCAATCTCAAACCGAACAATTGATTGCCCGGTTTTGCTTAGAACTTGAATAAATTATCCCCGATTTCCTAGCTTCTTTATCGCTTTCTAGTTCGTACTTTAGGTTCGTTTTTGTTTGCTGTTGATTTCTTAGTTGATAATATATTCCTCATTTCTGATTAGAGTGTTTAGGTTTTTATCTTCTTTTTGTGTGAAATCAATACCGAAGTTAAATTCCGAACCGCCTTCCTCGAGAGATCGACCCGGGAAACGAATCCTTGATTCGGTACTCGGTAAAAATAACAATTTGTGCTACAACACATATCAAGAGTGGTCTCTATCTATAGAGAATGAAAAAAAAATACGAATTTTGATTTTTTTTTAATATATAATAAACACAATAATTGAGTTATCTTATCTTATCACATTAAAATTAAGGTGGCCAATCAGAATGGTCCCATTCCTTATCCGATCCGAGCAAGAATTGAATTAAAAAATTAAAGAAAAAAAAATGTGACCTGAGTCGCGTAAATTACTGCCTTTTTATTTATTTTTTTATTATTATTATTTTTTTATTTTTTCTGGTGACCCAACCTAATGGGTCACCGATAAGGATAGCCTAAGGGAGGGGATAATCTCCCCAAATTGAGAGAAATAAAGAAGTTATCAATTAGGACAAAACATCCCATAATTGAATTCTTAATTGGCATCAAAATGAGGCACTTAACGCCGGTGAAATGGGAATTGAGGTCTATTAAAACCTTACCAAAACTAAGCCCAATGATTTAAAAATTTGAAAAGTAAAGTGGGTGTCACAAGATCAAGTTAAAGGAGTGGCGTTTTCAAACAAAATTGGGCCGAAATTTCAATAAAGAGGTCGTTTTAGGTGTGAAAATAGACTAAAATTACAAGTCTTGCACATCTTGAAGTAGGCTTGGAAAAATGGCTAAGAAGGATTCACAAAATGACTTGCGATCAAAATCGAACGATTTTTCAATTGAAGATAATACGATAAAATTAGAAATAATTTAAATAGATGAAGACATCTACGAAAATTGTTTAACTTATAGGACATCTAGATAATCATAATAAGCTTATTAGAGTAATTTGTCGAACAAAGAAAATAATAAAAAAAAAGCAATGCAATTAAGAAATAAAATAAATACGATGATTCCTAATATTCTAATGGGGCACTACACTCCAAAACAGTGTCATGAGTAATTTGCCACTGTGATAAACGAACTTCAAAAAGTGAACAAATCAAGAGCGCTCAAACTTGCCAGACGATTGCAAGATAACATTTTATTGATATGGCGAATGAGTTGAGGCTTCGTATGGCGGTTGATTTTACTGCTTCAATTACAAGCGCTATTCCACCTACATTTTCAGTTATTGCCCTGTAATGTTCAAGATAATTAAGATTAATACAAGTACAAACTAAATATATAATTTAAAATGAAATGTATAACCTTATTTGTTAACCAAACAAAGTAAACCAAAAAAATGGAACACTAGTGAATTTGG